GTTGTGAGGTTCTGAACTCCAGCAACCTGAGGCTGAGAGCTTTGTGGAAGCAGCCACTTAAAGGCCTGAGCTAGGGCCATGCCCCCCTGATCATGTATTTTTTTGAACAATCATGTTAATTCATTCAAACAATCAATATTTATCTACGAATGTCATTGGATTGTGGAAACTTATTTGCCTCCTCGAATTACCAGGATATGAGCAAAAACCCTGGAATAAAGCGTGCGTCCAAAGTTTTAAGAGCGGTTTGATTTATTTGCATTTCTTAACAGGATCATTGTCCAGCACAAACCCTTTTTCTCTTATGCTGGTCACGATGAGTTAGTCAAAACCAAAATAAAAACAAATATTTAAAATCGTACACTATCGTCTGTCTCATAACAAGTTTGGGATGATGCTAAATTCATGTGAGGTGAAGGCAAAACCTGTCCAAAACGGTCTCATTAAGATTACAAAGTCGCTCGCAATTCCACCGGCTGCCCACTGGGAGCAGTGGATCTCTCACAAACTTCTACAGCGTATTCTGGTGGTGCGAGTTGGTTTGACACTCGTAGGCTTCCGTAGCTCACTTTGTAGTTAATATGGCGCCTCTTGCCGAGTGTCCCACGTGCTGTTTCCGGTAGGTTTGGGAGCTACAGCGGGGTGCAAGTTTTTCTAGTACTACTCCTGGAGGAGCCGGTCTGCAACCAACATGTGCAGCAGAAACAACAACAAGTTGCCCAGCAACTTGCCGCAGTTACAGAATCTTATCAAGCGGGACCCGCCGGCCTACATCGAGGAGGTGGGCGCGGGGCAGTTCGGGTGCGGGAGGCCTGGGCGCCGAGGATTCCAAGCCCGGGGAAGACGTGAGCGGGGCTCTGCCCTCATACGTGCAGGTCTCTTCAGGGGAGAGAAGGGCTGGGGAAAGGACTGTGACTGTTGGTTCGGTTGCGCCTCTGGATTTTCTGCCAGCTGCGCAGAGCCCGCCCTCAAGGAGACACCTTTAAAGCTTCGTTTTTCTTAGGATTTGCCGACCTCGCTGAGTTGGAGAGACGGAGGGCGCTAACTAACCTGTTTCCGCCAGGCTTCTTGGCCGTTTCCTGTGAGAAACTGGCCTGTGTTAATGAGTTGGTAACATTTGACGGGTCGTATGTAAAAATGTTTGCTTTCGACCGACGTCTGTTTCGCATTCGTTCTGTGACCGGAGCTGTGCGGGGAAGAGAGCAGTGCTCACAGCCTGGGACCAGGCCAGGGGCTTAGGATTCAGGGCTGAAGCCGAATTGAGACTCATTACAAGGTCGTGTGACATGAATGTCATCAGAGGTTGCATTGGGAAAACATGAGATTTGGCCTCAGTTGTGATGCAGTTTGAATACTGATCTTTTAAATTGTGAAGTTAAAGGTATTTGGACTGAAAAATGACAGAATGAAAGCTGTAAAGAAAATAAAACTGGACGGCAGTATGCTAGAAGTGGGGGCTGCTGATTTGGATCCCATGAATAGGGAAGGTTTTTCTGTATTAATAATACTTTCAGTGCTTCTGGGAGCCATTGAAGGGTTTTAAACAGGAAAGTGACATAACCGATTCATATTTTTAAAAATTTAGTCAGGTAAAGCGGAGGCAGCAGTGTACATCCGTAATCCCAGCACTGAAGCAGGTTGAGGATTGCAAGTTCAAACTCAGCCTGGATGACACTGTTACAAAATTTAAAAAAATTTTTTTTTTCTTTTAAGTTCTTTTTAAAATTTTAGTCTGGAATGTGTGTATGTCTGTGTCTGTGTTTATATACAATGGGATGTAGAAAAGCATGACTAGAATCAAGTTATAATAGCTTTTAGAATAGTCCAGGAAAGAAATGGCTGTGCCACTTTATCAATGGTATTGAACGGTAACACTGTACCTGGAAAATACAACTAGTAGGACTTCTTGGTAGACTGGATGTGGGGGATAAGAAAACAAATAAATGAAAGTTAGTTCATTCTTAAGGAGCTAGAATGATTTCACAAGATTTATCAAAATGAAGTAAGCCAAGAAAAAGAGAATAATGACTGGGATTTCAAGTTGTATATAATAATATTTGAATAAAGACAAAACAAAAATAACAAGAAGAGGGATATCCTGTAATAGTATGGAAATCAAAGTGTAGACATGTTTCCTTGACTGTACCTAAAATGGCTTGCAGGAAAGCTACATCTGCCTGAATATACTCAAAGTCATCTTGATTTAGGACTGTCAGGGGAGGATTATCACTCCTTGGGGGCTTTGGGAGGCCTTTTACTATACTGCAGGGCTAGATCCTACAGAAGTCAGATATCTACTTTGACTCTGGATTCTCTTTTCATTAGTGTTTGTCATAAAATTTACATTAAAATAATATTTATATTAAATGAATCAGAATGGCCCTTTACATTATAGTTCTAATGTTGAGTGGAATTTCTTCCAATAAACTTACGTTCTTGGAAAAAAAAGATAGTTCATTTTAAAAAAATTCTATATGCAGGTAGATATTACCTTGAATTGAAGTTCATTTATTTGATAAATACTAATTACCTACTGTGTGCTTAGTGAACTGTATAGATGAAAATTCTATTCTCCTTGGGTACATTATAGTAGGAAGAAATATACAATAGCAAGTAATATATGGTATATTAAATAGTGGTAAGTGCTGTGGGAAAAACAAGGGAAATAAGAAAGTGACTGTATAAATTGAAGGTGGTAGCACATGCCTATAATCCCAAGATTTGGGAGGCTACGGAAAGAGGATCACAGAGTTCAAGGCCAGCCTGAACTATCCTGTCTCAAAAAAAAAGTGTCTAGATATGTGAGTATGAGAAGGTGTTGAATTTTTAAATGGGGCAGTCAGGGAGGGTCTTGAAATGATAATCTGTAAATTATAACATAAGTGAGGAAGAGCTGTGTCTATTTAGAAGAATAGCAGTGCAGGCAGAGTAAACAAATATGTAAATCCTGGGGCAGGCATATGACTGGTATTTTGAAGAATAAAAAGGAAACCGCAGGATTTTGAAATGGATAATGAAGAAAAGGAGAGTAATAGGAGGAAAGATAGAGTTGTTTTTAAATAGTTACATGATTTTCTCTGTGCCACTGTCAAAAGACTTTTACTAAATCAAGGTCCATTCTATCCTGAGATATCATATAATAGAATATGATGAATTTTCTTTTTTCTATAGTTTCTCCAGCAGTATAATCACTACCAATCCAATGTGGAGATTTTCAAGTTACAACCAAATAAACCTAGCAAAGAACTGGCAGAGCTGGTGATGTTTATGGCACAG